CTAAATGATCTGCAGAAGTAAGACACAGTTTAAAAAAACATGCTTAGTCATACAAAATATCAATACATAGGGCAGCACAGTGGCTCGCACTGCTGCCTCACAGTGTCAGGGACCCAGGTTCAGTTCCACCCTCGGGCAACTATCTATGTGGAATTTACATTGTTCTCTCCGTGACTGCATGGGTTTCTGCCAGGTGCTCTGGTTTCATCCCACACTCCAAAGATGTGCAGGTTGGGTGGGAGGCTCTTCAGAGGGTTGGTGTGGACTTGTTGGGCTGAATGGCCTGTTTCTACACAGTAGGGATTCTATGATTCTATAAAATATGACAACCGCCAGGAGAAAGGATAAAAGAGGCATTTCAACCAACTCCAGTTTCACAGAACTTGTTTATGTTAATGGATGTTTCATTAAGTCTGATACAGGGGCACTGTCCTATCAGAGCAAATACCATGGCTGATGTATCTGCTAGTACAGAGATGAAACTGCATGATCCAGTGGTGTAAGTCTGAAGATTAATATTGTGCTACTGGTAACACTGTAGCACAAATAATGTAAGAGAGTTGAAGAAATGTATGAAATTCACAATCAACATATTTCACTTCAGCCTCTATGCATGTCTTGACCTCAACATCCTTAAAATAGCAATTGATCCAGAAAAAGTGATCCAGGAACAAACCATTGTTGATCTTAGATGTTGTGAAACTTGCAAGAGTTCAGAAAAGATTTACAAGGATGTTGCTGGGGTTGGAGGGTTTGAGCTATAAGGTGAGGCTGAAGAGGATGGGGCTATTTTCTCTGGAGCGTGAGAGGCTCAGGGGTGGCCTTATAGAAGTTTATAAAATCTTCAGGGACATGCATAGGGTGAACAGCCAAGGTCTTTTCCCCAGGGTAGAGAAGTCCAAAACTAGAGGACATAGGTTTAAGGTGAGACGGCAAAGATTTAAAAGGAACCTAAGGGGTAACATTTTCATGCAGAGCATGGTGCATGTATGGAATGAACTACCAGAGGAATTGGTGGAGGCTGGTACAAATACAACATTTAAAAGTCATCTAGATCAATACATGAATAGGAAGAGTTTAGAGGGATATGAACCAAATGCTGGCAAATGGGACTAGATTAATTTAGAATATCTGGTCAGCACGGATGAGTTGGACCGAAGCGTCAGTTTATGTGCTGTACATCTATGAATCTCTACTTGAGGCAACCAGTAGAAGATTTTTTTCAGAGACAGTAGGAACTACAGATGCTGGAGAATCTGAGATAGCAAGGTGTAGAGCTGGATGAACACAGCAGGCCAAGCAGCATC